TACTAAGCTTTGTCTTGTGCATAACACAAGCTTATTACAAATGACGTCATCATACCCTTGTACACTTTTTCCAGTGCCTCACCATCTATCAACATGTATAGCATTACCACTGAAATTCACCTTGCTCACTGCTATTCCATTTGACAACAGTCAATAAACCTAATGAACCATGAAACATATCATCCATCATAAGATATAGTACCCTAGAAAAATTTGAGGTCTCCCAAGCAAACAGTACTGAGAAGGACTTCAACTACATCTTCAGAAAAATCCCTTATTCTCCAATCAGTTTTCAGTGCACCAAGCACAATATTTCTCTACATAAATGACCTTTTCTACCTTAGTGTCCTGTTTTGTGAATTTTCTGTTCCAGATATCTAGAAGCCACAAAATATTTTACAACAGAAGGTAGTACATTAGAATAGTAATATATGTTGTGGAGTCCTGTAGCTCAGTGGTTAGAGCACTCGCTTTGCAAGCGAGAGACCCGAGTTCAATTCCAGACAGAGGGAAACCTTGGGCAAGTTTCCTTACTCCACACAGAGCCTAATAATAATCCCTCCAAAACCAAAAACAATAATAAATTGGTCATTTTCAATCCACGACTGTTTGTGGGACATTGTTGTACGCAATTGGCTGCCGCGTTCGGCCACAAATATAGTCACTTCACTTTACAGTGTGTTCTATGAAGCGCTTTGGGACGTCCTCCCGACGTGAAAAGCGCTATATCAAATGCAAGGATTATTATTATTATTGTTATAAAATAGTGGAAGGCAGGTTTTATCCCCACTCAGCTATTCCCAGTGAGGAAGTGGCGGGGGATAAAGAGAATAGGAAAACGATTTCAAAAAATCAGAATGTATTGTGCCTGGCACCTTGTTTTCCTACAACTTTCAGGCAACCATGCCCAAACAGGATTGGTCAACTGGGAGCAGATCACACATCCGCTCACACCCACAAAGTTGGAAAGAGACTTTTAAAAAATAATTTTATGAATTCTCCCCTCACTTTCCACTCATTAAATGTCATCTTTAACCTTTTGTAATTTGTCATGAGGCCATTTTAATTTTACTCTTCAGCACATTGAACAAAACATGCTTATTGTAGAAACCTTCACCTTGTGCAACACGTTACCCTAAATGTAGACCAACTTGCTTTCAACGTCCTTTTTTATAAATTAAATCAAACTGAAGTTTTCACACTGTTACATAATAAAAGACTGTTAAGAGCCTTTGGAAATATTTACTTATACCGAACAATCACAAAAATCTTCTTGATACAACTGAAGCATTAGTGATTTCAAAACTACAGCAGAACCCTTTATGAGGATTTTTAAATCCCAGCCCACTTTAGCAATTACTATTTCTCAGCACTTACTTATTGTGGCGTTATTGTTCACATGTATGCAGTAAAGTGATAATACGGAAATCAAATGTCCATGCTTAATCCTGGCCAAACCTACTCGGTCCAAAAAAGCATCCCAGTAAATTAGATTCACCTCAAGGTCAACTCTCATCTTGTGGTTGAAAGTACCTAACAACAAGGTTCATATTCCATTTAAGTGAAAATGAGCTGGTACAAACTCCAACTCATTTTCCTAGAAACACAGTGGAAACAATATTTAGTTCATCTGACAACTTTTATAAAAACAGCAAATTCACTGATCTGCTGGCAAACAATTGAATGATGTGCTTGGATTATGGCACAGAGTCTCAGCATAAATATTAGCCACCACTCAGCCCAAATTAGAAACTTATATTTATCTGCTTAAAAGATTTAGCATCTGTACTGCAACTGAGCTCTACTTTCAAAAACTTCAAGATCAAAATAGTATTCCCTTGGTCATTCAAATTCATTCTCATGCACGTACATTTAATGTTTCTTAGAAACCATTATAACTATAGGTATTACTATTAAAGAATAGGGACATTTTATCAGAGTGATGTGTATTCAGCAATTAAGAAACAACAAAGCATCGGTGCGATTGGGAAACGTCTGGGTTGAAGACACCAGAAACATGCAGACTGTGATGGTGGTACAGATTATGTAACTATTTATGCCTTGAGAGGATTACTATTCATTAGACTCCAGAGGACTAAACGGTATTTACTGTATTTTGCTTAAATATTTAAATTGAGATTTTAATCTGTCCAATAAAACAAATGGACCAATCAATCAAGTACCAGATTTTTTTATTAACAAAAAGGTACCATACTAATAAAAATACATTACTTGGGTTTTAGGAGCTTACTCCCAAATTCCAAAATAAAATTATTACTCAATTATAATAATAAAAATAATATATTATTACGCAATTAGTTGAACTCATATTCCAAATTTTTCCTAAAATGATAACTTCTCCCAGTCAGACATCAAAACTAACTAATGGATTCTCTTTCTATCCATTTCTCCTCAGGATTATGCATATTCAACATTTCAACCATTGCTGCTTCCACCTAGCCTTTGCATTTTATTCAGAATAATTTTAGTTTAAGTCCTATTGAACAAGGCCACAATCGCCATGGTACAACAAGACACCTTGCATTTATATAGAGCCCTTCATGCACGGTAGCATCCCAGAACACATTGCCCTGCAATACTAAATGGCAGGTAATAAATGGCAGATAATGCAACACCGCTCACTCCACTGTAGATTTCTTCACAATTTGATGCAGTTCAGAACATTACGTATGTGAGTGACATATGTCAGGTCAGATTGTATACTCTATACAGCATTACTGTATTTTGCTGATCATTAAAACAATGTTTAAATGGGATTTCAGTGCGATAGAAATGCAATTTGTTGTTGCTATTGTTTTGGTTTACAACCTATGCTTAACAGTCATACATGTTACTCTTCACCCAGTGTGGGCTGCCTTGAGGTATATAAGTAGCAATCTACATAAACAAAAAATAGTAAAACCACATCCTGGGTGCAACATTTCCTCCAGATTAAATTAGTTATCAACTTCATGGCTGTTTGTGGGACACTGCTGTGTGCAAATTAGTTGTCAAATTCACTTGGCCTGCAAATACAGTCACTACACTTTACAGTAAAACCTCACAAAGTGCTTCCAGACATCATCCAGAGGCGACAGGCGCTGTATTCCATTATAATTATTATTAGAAATGTATCAAGTCATTCAAGAGACCAATGTTGCAATGACCAACGTTACTACAGGGAAATAAAAACCTCACACTCAATCTGCCTGTTTCTGTGTGTGTACGGTGTGTGTGTGTGGGGGGGGGGGGGGGGGGGGTGTGTGTAGGCGTGTGTGTGTGTGTGTACGGTGTGTGTGTGTGGGGGGGGGGGTGTGTGTGTGTAGGGGTGTGTGTGTGGGGGGGGGTGTGTGTGTAGGCGTGTGTGTGTGTGGGTGTGTGTGTGTGGGGGGGGGTGTGTGTGTGTGGGGGTGTGTGTGTGTGGGGGGGGGTGTGTGTAGGCGTGTGTGTGTGTGGGTGTGTGTAGGGGTGTGTGTGGGTGTGTGTGTGTAGGGGTGTGTGTGTGTAGGGGTGTGTGTGTGGGGGTGTGTGTGTGTGGGGGGGGGGTGTGTGTGTGTGAGGGGTGTGTGTGTGGGGGGGGGGTGTGTGTGTAGGCGTGTGTGTGTGTGGGTGTGTGTAGGGGTGTGTGTGGGTGTGTGTGTGTAGGGGTGTGTGTGTGTAGGGGTGTGTGTGTAGGGGTGTGTGTGTGGTGTGTAGGGGTGTGTGTGTGTAGGGGTGTGTGTGTGGGGTGTGTAGGGGTGTGTGTGTGGGGGTTGTTTGTGTGTGTAGGGGTGTGTGTGTGTGTAGGGGTGTGTGTGTGTGGGGGTGTGTGTGTGGGGGGGGGTGCATGTGGAGGAGTGTGTATGTGGGTGAAGGGGATGTGGAGGGGCGCGTGTGCGGAGGGGGGGTGTTTGCGTGGAGGGGGAGTGTGTGTGTGGAGGGAGTGTGTGTGGAGGCAGTGTGTGTGTGTGTGGGGGGGGGGGGGAGTGTGTGTGTGTGTGTGTGGGGGGGGGGAGTGTGTGTGTGGGGGGGGGGGGAGTGTGTGTGGGGGGGGGGGGAGTGTGTGTGGGGGGGGGGGGGAGTGTGTGTGGGGGGGGGGGGGAGTGTGTGTGGGGGGGGGAGTGAGTGTGTGGGGGGGAGTGTGTGTGTGGGAGTGTGTGTGTGGGGGGGGGGGGGAGTGTGTGTGTGGGGGGGGGGGGGAGGTGTGTGTGGGGGGGGGGGGGGAGTGTGTGTGGGGGGGGGGGGGAGTGGTGTGTGGGGGGGGGGGGAGTGTGTGTGGGGGGGGGGGGGGAGTGTGTGGTGGGGGGGGAGTGTGTGTGTGGGGGGGAGTGTGTGTGTGTGTGTGTGGGGGGGGGGGGAGTGTGTGTGTGGGGGGGGGGGGGGGAGTGTGTGTGTGGGGGGGGGGGGGGGAGAGCCGGGATGAGCACCTCATCCACAAGCCAAAGAGCATTGTTTGTTGCCAATAACAACGGTGTAAAATAAAAATACGTTGTAGCCCAGAGGGGGGGGGGGGGGGGAGGGGGCAGAGAGAGAACGAGAGAGGGGGAGAGAGGGGGGGGGGGGAGAGAGGGGGGGGGGAGAGTGGGGGGGGGGAGTGGGGGGGGAGGAGAAGAGGGGGGGGAGAGAGTGGGGGGGAAGAGAGTGGGGGGGAGAGGGGGGAGAGAGGGGGGGGAGAGAGGGGGGGAGAGTGGGGAGAGAAGGGGAGATTTGGGGCCTTGAAACCAGGCCCTGAGGCGATCAGGACTTTACAAGGAGAGGCTGTGCTGTTGATGACAGGATTTATCTCCGGGGGGGGAGGGGGGGGGGAAGGCCGCCGCGGGGTCACCTACACCCGGACAGTACATCATAACAATAAAAGGCTTCACTTTGACAGCCCCACAGCCCCACAGCCCCCCCCACCGGGGGCCTGAGCTCCGGGCCGGGCCCTGGCGGGGGGGGGGGGGGCCCTGGCGGGGGGGGGGGGGCCCTGGCGGGGGGGGGGGCGGGGTGGGGGCGGCGGGACACACACACAGTGAGGATACAGTTTGAAGCCCTTCAGGATCTCGGAGGCGCGATCTTCCTTCACGGTCATGGCTGCACTGCCCTCTCCGCCCTTTTCCCGCGTCGCGGAGACCGAGCGACGACCCGACAGAGACCCGACTGTAGTGACAGGGACCGACTGCGCTGCAATTCCCACAGCAACCTCCCGCGCAACCAAACTTGCTGCGCCGCCCTCCCCGCCCGCCATTCGCTCTGCTCTCGGATGGACGGGCAGTTCAGCCAATCATGTTGCGCGCTGGCGGAGCTGGGTGGAGACACAGTGAGCACCGAGGCAGCACGTTTAGTTGCGCCGCCGCCACGCACAAGCCGCCCAACCCCACCCTCTCCCGCCCAAAGATGGCGGATTGCGCGGCTTTATACCCAATTGGGCGCGTTTTTGTTGCACTGCGCGGGGGGAGGGGCTAGTCTTTAGATTCTTTAATTTAAACCCCCCCCAAAACTTGTTTTCTCTCCCCTTTGAAGAGCTTTTCTTACAGTTTCAAGAGCACCGATCTGACTTTGTGGAGTCCTGTAGCTCAGTGGTTAGAGCACTCGCTTTGCAAGTGAGAGACCTGAGTTCAATTCCAGGCAGAGGGCGAAACCTTGGGCAAGTTTCCTTACTCCACACAGAGCCTAATAATAATCCTCCAAAACCAAAAACAATAATAAAAAAAAATTGGTCATTTTCAATCTACGACTGTTTGTGGGACATTGCTGTGCGCAATTGGCTGCCGCGTTCGCCCACAAATATACAGTCAGTTCACTTTACAGTATATTCTGTGAAGCGCTTTGGGACGTCCTCCCGACGTGAAAAGCGCTATATCAAATGCAAGGATTATTGGCCACTTTGAAATCAATAGGAAGCAAGACATAATATTGGGCTACTTTGGGCTACACACCCACACACTCCAATCCATGGATTCTCAATTCATTGAGAAATAACTTTTATGAGTAAACACAAAATGCAACCAATTATTGACAAAACCTTTCGAATGTAACTAAACATCTCTCACCATCCTGTGAGCAAAAAAAGAGGCTTTCATTGAATCTGGTGTCTGGCTCAATTCATTTGGAGCTGTCAATTAATTCTGAATTGATGTTTGTCTGTGCACTGAATATTGGGATTAACAGGAAATTTATATTCCTGGGAGAATCAAAATCTGATATTATTGACAATAACTTATTTATAATTTTATTTTATCTAGGCAACGTCCTCTCGACGTGAAAAGCGCTATATCAAATGCAAGGATTATTTATTTAACGTATGACCCAGAAAACAGCATGGCACTTTTGGTTTGGTTTGGATACTTTTAAGCATGGTGATGGGTTTCCGCATGTGTCAGACAGACCAAAAAATAGCAAAACAGTGCATTATTTTTCAATAAACACTCAATCAATCGCCACTATTACAGCCTGATCTTAGCATCATGTCACATGCTGCATACAGTCTAAAAACTCTCTTTGTCATTCCTATCACAGAGATCACTGAGACTGGCACTAACTCACAGTAAGTTTCATTTATTTTTGCTCCAATACAAAGCATGTTATGTATCATATGCATAACAATGACTGCCTTGCAGTATGTACTTTGACACAATCTCAGCATTTTGACTCATTTTGAAATTATGACTATAGCTTTTATTTTCTGCATTCTGAATGAATTCCTTGATCCAGACTTATATATTCTTCAGATCTGTTATTCTCTATATAATGCTATTGATTATAATTCCTTATTGATTTGTGTGAGTTGATAAATGTATAGAAGTTTTGTAAACTTAATTTTTGGAAGCTACTTTCTCCTTTGTTTATGGACATTTCTGTCAGTTGTTTATATGAATATATTTTCTTTTACCGACAAGAAAATGTTGGGCACGTTTCCTTACTCCACACGCCTGTGTTTACCTAGCAGTAAGTAAGAACCTGGTTGTTCGTCGATTGGCTGTTCTTTTTTTCGGGTCATAATCCTTTCAAAAAAAATAATAATCAATTGGTCACCCAATCCACGACTGTTTGTGGGACACTGCTGTGCGCAATTGGCTGCCCCATTTCGCCCACAAATATACAGTTAATTCACTTTACAGTGTACTCTATTAAATAATCCTTGCATTTGATATAGCACTTTTCACGTCTTCTAGACATCGCAAAACGCTTCACAGAATATACAGTAAAGCGAATTGTATATTTGTGAGCGAAACGGGGCAGCCAATTGCGCACAGCAGTGTCCCACAGACAGTCGTGGATTGAGTGATCAAATTATTTTTTTTCTTCAGGGATTATTATCAGGCTGTGTGTGGAGTAAGGAAACTTGCCCAAGGTTTCACACTGCTGGGAATCGAACCCAGGTCTCTCGCTTGTGAGTGAGTGCTCTAACCACCGAGCTACATGACATGCAGTGTGATTGCCATTATATTTCCCATTAGTAAAAAAGTGTTTAAATTATGAAAGGATTCAATTAAATAAATTGGCTGGAGCAGAAAGCGTCAATGTATTGAAGAGGAAACTTGATGCAAAAAAAATAAAAATAAAAAATAATAATAAATTGGACACTGTTGTGTGTAATTGGCTGCTGTGTTTCACCCACAAAATATACAGTCAATCCACTTTACAATATATTCTGTGAAGCATATTAATACGTCTCAAAGACATGATAAACCGCTATATCAAATGCAAGTATTATTATTGTTATTATTATAAGAGGGAAAAGAAAATTGTGTATCGGAGAGAGGATTTTGAAGGATGAAGGCTCATATGGAATAGACACATCAGTGTGGACTTGTTGCTATGTTTCATACTGAAATGCTTTATGTAATTCTATTAACAGCTGCATACACAGTATATTTGTCTATTTAACGTGCCAATAATTTTGAACATGCAAGAAAATGAAATTCATGATCATCAAAATTAACTTGGCAGGTAAAGTGGAATCAACATTGTTATTCAATTTCTTTTCAAAATTGTAGCTCAACATTTTTCAAGTTCACTTCTCTGCTCCCCATTATAATTTATATTGATATTATAATGGTTTTAGTAACCACAGTTTGCATCTCAAGTAACTAGATACCGTGCAGTTTTGCTGCCCTCTTTTGGTTGGTTAATTAGGAATTTAAATATTCAAAGAATAATGTAGAAAGGAAGAAAGGGAATGGGTTGTCCCACTTTGTCCCCTTCTAAGCAATTTTCTATGGCTGTGGACAAACAGTACACAGATGCACAAACTTGTACATTTTTGCTAATATAGCTTCCTTTAGACATTTGTACAACTGTACACAAGGGAATCAATATAGGATTAGATTATATCAATATATCACAAGGGTATCAGTAATAGTCAATGGAACCAAGACCTTTGATGCAAATGCTCCTCAGATAATGCTAACTGTGTTTTTGTAAATCACTATCTAGGCCCACACATGATAAATGGGAACTGGAGGACTCTCACATATTTCAGTGAAGTTCATTACTTCTGTAACATGAAGCTAGAAATAAGGAGACAATTGAAACACCATATTGAAACATTAAAATTATCTCAGGATTCCTTGATAAACAACAACCTTCCATGCATCACCCACATTCATGTCCTGATTCTGTGCTGTTGTGGGTGTGAAGATTCCCAAAGGCGCAATAAGAGTTACAGATCTTGGATTGGAATCAAGTGTAAAATGGAGTAATGAAGAACCAGAAGGACATTTCTGGTTTGCTGAACAAGCAAGTGTTAATGGGAGTGAATTAGGCTCTGGAACCTGTATCTCTGCATTCTGTTAAATATGGAGATGTGGCAAGCGTGATTCTATGAACTATACACAGATTATTTCTGGTTAATAAGTAGAAACCATTGCAAGGCTTAAACTGAAAATTCATGATTGCTCAAATAAATTAAGTAGCATTTAAGCAGAAGTGAGATCTTGAGCGTTTCTGTCATTTTGCGACGACCTTGAAATGAAATCTCCTCCAAACCCTCAACTCACAATTCAAATTCTCCATCTGAATGATTGCAACACTTTATATGTCCACCAGATGGCGCTACACTACAGGCGGGGCTTGTGCTTGAGAACTCCGATGGCCACTAATAATAATATAATAATAATCCTTACATTTGATATAGCATCTTATCACATCGTTGAAACGTCGCAAAGTGCTTCACTGTGTAAAGACAGAGGCACTGTGTACCAATCATAGCTAAAGACAACATTTATTCTGATATTTCCAGTAAAGGAATGAAAAATTGTTGCATTTGATTGAGCACCTTATCCCATCATTGAGACATTTCAAAGTGCTTCACTGGATGCTCTGTTGAATGTAATGACTGTATTTGTAGGCAAACACAGCAGTTAATTTGCATTGATTGATGTCCCACAAACAGCCATGAAGTGAATAATTGTTTTCATTTGGGGGATTGTTGGCCAGGATACCGGGAGAAACTTCCTTCACCAAGTTCCATAGAATATTGGCAGCTATTATTAAGTACACCAACTTTCAGTGTGTTATGCACAAGTTAAACATTGGTTTGGTCCCAATGTCTGGTGGCTGCTCAGAGATACTGCCCCATTACTGGCTGTGTGTCGTCTTGTGCAGTGACACTCACTGCAGTCTTGTATTGTGGTGAATCAGTACTGCAACTTTCTGCAAAACAACCAAATCGATTAACAGTGCAGTTCCTTCTATTCTTGGTAGGAGAAAGCAGAGAGTGTGCAATAATGTTTCTGAAGGAGTCCTTGGAGACTCAAGTGGATTGTATAGATATACCATTTTGGATACTGTACTACTCAATTAATGGCCTCTTACCTTATATCAGACAGAGTTTTAATCAAAACACTGAGCTAGAACTCAAAATTTAATGCTGAGCGGTCATTTGTTTTACAGTGATTTATTTTTGTCTGAAAATAGCTGAACTTTGAAAGTAAAAGTTTGTGTGTCCCTAGTTCTTAGTTATTGTACTTTAATATTCTCAGTTACTAAACCTCTCATAACACAAAATATTGTAGAGAGGATCTTAAAGTGGGGCTTTCATATTATAACAGCTTAGGTTATTCTAATTTTATTTTGTGAAATGCTTTGAGACGTCTCGAAAACGTGATAATGTGCGATAAGGTGCAAGGATTAATAATAATAACTTTAAGCAATTAAATTAGA